TTTTTTTTTTTTTTTTCAGTACCAGGGATTGAACTCAGGCCCTTGCGCTTGCCAGGCAAGCACTTATTGTACTGAGCCATCACCCCAGCCCCTTGTTTTTCTCTACAGTGCTTCTAAAGATTGATGTTATTGAAGACTTTAGCTCCATGTCACTTAATGTGTCCTTTACTAAGTTCAGGCTCTAGACATGGGCAACATAGTGAGACTCTGTCTTTAAAAGTCAGATAAAAAGGACGGGCATATAGCTCAGATTTAGCTTGCTTGTCTAGCTTGTGCAAGGCCTTGGATTGACTTCCCAGTACCATGAATATAAAAAAGGGAGAACTTCTTTTAGAACATAGTGCCAGGAAAGGCTTGCCTGGCCAAAGGAGCTGGTATGCTTTTTCTTTGTGGGCAATTTGAAATTTATAACTGCTTATATTTCTCTTTTTGCTTCGGTTTTTAGGAGATAAGAGGCCAAATTTGTAGCGTGGTTTTTTAGTAACTGTGTAGTGCCCTGCATCTGACTTTTTCCAGTGTTAACTTTATACCTTTTATTTTATTTTGTGTTTTTCTTTACCAGCCTTCACATTGGGCTACATCCCTGGCCCCTTTTTTATTTTTAAGATGGGTCCTGTTAAGTCACTGAGTTGCCCAGGGTTGGTATGAACTTATAGTCCTCCTGCCTCAGCCTTGCAGAGCACTGGAATTACAGCTGTGTGCCTTCCCTGCTTTTACCTTTCTGTTTCAATCAAACGATTTGTAATTTAGCTGAGTACAAGCTCAGTATGTGCTGGTAGAGATCTCAACAGAAGGGACTTGCTTCAACCAGCACCCAGGTGGGCAGAACACAGACTCGCAACCATCCCTTTTGTTCCTGAATTGAGCCACCTGTGCTCCTACCTACGCCCAGACAGAATAGCTCTCGTGCTCCTGCTCTTGACGATCAGCCCTGGCCCTCGGTCTCGAGAGTGTGGTGTGTCCAGACTTGAGGGCAGTGATCAGAAACTAGATTGCCAGCTGAGGATAACGTGAAGCGTGGTGTCTGGAGTTCCCTGCCTGCATCTTGCTGGGAAAAGAGGGCGTGGCCCACAGAGGGCACTTGGGTGCTGCTGAAGGCTCAGCCAGGGTCATGGTCCTTGTACCATGATGATTTTTTAAAAAAAATTTTTATTTATTTATGTGTGTGTGTGTGTGTGTGTGTGTGGCCAGCTCAGCCCACCAGGGGGCCGGCTGGCTGGCATGTGGTGCGGGGGATTGAACCGTGGTCCCTGTGCTTTGCTAAGCTTGTTCTAAGTAGGTGCTTTAGACCACTGAGCCATCTCACCAGCCCACCATGATGATTTTTAGTATTTTGTTTTTTATGTTTTAAGACAGGGTTACCTCGTGTAGCCCTGCCTGGCCTAGAATTTGAAGCAATCCTGCTGCCTCAGACTCCTAAGTGCCACCACGTCCTGCTTTGTTTTCTGTTTGGGAGAACTGTACATGGGTCAAGGGAGCTAGGCTTGGGCAACATCTTGCCATTCATGAATGTTTAGATTCCTATTTTGAATTAGAGAAGTAGAACCTCTGGCCAAATCAACCCTGGTTGCATGTTTCCTGGATTAATAATCATTTGAGGGCTGATAAAGCCTTTGGGAGATAAAGATGGATTAAGGTACAGACCCTGTCCAAAGAGCATAGTCTGATCAGAGACAGAGGTATAAAGGTGGAGAGTCCTTAAAGAGAGGACGTGGAATTTCCTGGGGATGGGCCTGTGAAAACAGAAGAGTTAAACATGCAGGGACTCTCCTTACCCATGTGGCATGGAAGTGAGGGACAGAGGAATAGGAGCCCTGTAGGCACTGGGACAGGCAGCCTTGAGAGGGTGTGTGACCCTACTGCTGTGCTTTGGAGTAGATTAAAAAGTGTTCTCACAGTGGGCATGGTGGTGCAGGTGGGTAATCCTAGCACTTTGGGAGTCCAAGCAAGAAGGACCACAGGTCCATGTGACAGAGTGAAAACATGTTTCTGAATAAATAAAATGGCAAGGTGCCATTGGGTCTGATCCCTAGTAAACACACACAGTATCCTCAAAGGAGGATACACAGAGTTTCTTCAAACTGGGTGTGGTAGCCCAGGCCCATAATCCTTGCTATGAGGCGGAGGTAGGAAGATCACATGGGTTTTTTTGATAGGGGAAGGTCACAAGTCTGAACCCCATCTCAATGAAAAGTTAAGAGGCTGGAGATGTTGCTTAGTGATAGAGCAAAAGGACAGACAGTGTCTTTCTCAGGGCGGGGAAGCATGCTTGTGAGGCCTATGAACCCAGTGCTCAGGAGACCAAGGCTGGGGCCTTGAGGCCAACCTATCTCAAGCAAAAAACACACAAAGCATCAAATGCAACCAACAAAATCCCAACACATATACAACCCCCAAATGAACGAACTAGCGCAAAACTACCTTTAGATAATCTCACAACCTGGCTGCTAGGGGACTTCTGAAGCCTAAGCAGAGGCCTACCATATCTTAATTTTCAGAATGGGGCATCTGTGATGAAAACAAATAGCAGGGCCGGGGAGATAGCTCAGTGGAATAAACGCAAGCGCAAGGGCCTGAGTTCAATCCCCGGTTCCGCAAAAAACAAAAACAAAAACCAAATAGCAATGTTCTGTATCTGCCACCAATATTTCATGTCTTTTTTTTTCCCCCCATCCCCTGCATTTTTTCCCTTTTTTTTTTAAAGTGCTGGGGAGTAAACTCAGGGCCTTTTCATTAAATTACAACCCCACCCCATTTTTTTTCAGATAGGGTCTCAGTTGCCTCAGCTACACTGGAATTTGTGATCCTCCTGCCTCAGCCTCCAGAAGGCTGGGATTACAGGTGTGTCTG